GTGAGTGAGTGAGTGAGTGAGTGAGTGTGTGAGTGAGTGAGTGTGTGTGTGTGTGTGTGTTTCATGGACTCACAGGTTGTGCTGTTTTCCCAGCAGCAGATCCCTTCACTAGAGGAGGAGGAGCGCTGGACACAGGAGCCGCCGGCTGATCGAGACACAACAGAATGATCATCATTAACTCGGTCAGTTTAAGTCCTTTCACACTGTTTGACCTCCAGATACACACTGGGTCAGCCGGTTATGATGTTACTAAATCATCGCTGTGCTACTAAAGGTCAGCGTCACATGAGATTCTGCAGTTTGATGCAGAGTGTGTTTGTACCTTCTGTGCGCTTTTGTCTTTGTGTTTGTGACTCTGTCTGAGTTTCTTGAGCAGGATGAGTTTGGCCTCCTCTAAACGCAGCTCCTCCTTCAGCTGCTTGATGACGCGCTCACGCTCCTTTGGAGAGCTCCTCTGCACACACACACACACACGCACGCACGCACGCACGCACGCGCACACACACACACACACAATATCACACACAACAGAAAATATACCATACATGAAAAGTACTAAATATACATGAATCTGCCACAGAAACTGCATGTCCACCAACACAATCTCTGTTCAACACGACCCGTAACACATGTGTGTAACTGTCATGTGTTGTTGTTCATGTCAGAGGTCACGTGTTTACCATCAGCAGATCCGTGTCCAGCTCTTTGACGTGATTTCCTCCGTTCACCGGCGGACTGGGTGCCTCGTCGGACAGAACGATCACATCCTCAGGCGACGGAGAGCTCGCCTCTCTCTTCATTGCACTGCAATCAAACACAGGCTCGTTAAACGTGACGAGCAGAGCACTGAGAACTCATTCCTGCTGTGTTTGAACATGCTGCAGAAATAAACACATCACATACGCTGAGGTTTGTATGATTAATCTGGATCACATAATCAGATCCAAAAAATTAAGTACTCGTAATTAGATTATATGACATTTTAGAATACTCAATCAGACTAGATACTCCTTTATTAATTAAATGATTACATATTATTCACACAATGGCAGTAAATGATTCATAACTTATTTATATATTTAGGCAAAATATTTTTTTTTAGTGTTTAAGTGTTTTATTTTGATTATTTAAAATTTTAATCAAATTTAAATATAAGTTTTATTTTAAATTTTTATGATACATACATTTTTTATACAAACCCCCTGCAGTTCCTTCACAAACCCCAGTTTGGGTCTTTCATGTTGTTGATAAAAATAGATTTTTATTTCTTTATAATTTTATATATTCTCTATTGTTTTTTTGTTTGTTTTTTTTCCCGTATTTTCTTATATATAGTTTACATTTTTTATTTTTTTGTAATAGAATATATTTTCAGGAATAGAGTTGCAAAAAGGCAGAAAATTTCAGGAAAATTTCCAAAACTTTCAAGAAATTTTGGAAACTTTTCTGGATTTTTTTTAACTTTCGGAAAATTTCAGGAATTTTCCACCCCTTTGCAACCCTACTCTGAATTACTATTTTACAAAATGATCCTATTTCAATCTATGCAATAAATGATATAAGTCAACGTAATCTAAAAGTAGTCCAAAATTAACTATCATTTTTATCAATTAATTTGTAATCAGTAACTGACTGAATTGGTAAATCCTGATTACTCCTGTCTGAACTAGTAGTGTTTTGTTTCTGTGCTGGTCAGTGATGAGATCGATGTCCACTAGAGGGGGACAGATAGGAGATCATCCAATCAGCTGTGAGCTCAGAGGAGCAGCGATCACATGACGCAGCAGCAGAGGGCAGATGGGAAAATAACAGCACACACATGATCTGAGGAGTCTAACAGCTTTCAGAACAGCACTAGCAGCTGCAGTACTAGTGATGAGTGACTAGTAAACAGCACTAACTCAATGAAGGCACAGTTTCATCAGGACATCCATCAGTGATGATGAGTGAGAGCAGAGCAAACACACCGTATGTTTCTCTGATCGGGTCTGAGGAACATGGACTGAAACCCTGAAGCTCCTCAGATCTGCATTTGAGTGTCTCAGAGTCACAAGCCCAGCAAACATCCTCAGTACAGTGAAGCCGTTTCTCTGAATCGTTTCTTCATCAGACAAACTCAAATATGCTCTTAAGTTCATGCACATGTTCACGGTTCTCTGATAGTGCTCAGTGAAAAATATTTTATCTTATAGTATATGATTTATGTTGACTGGTTTTATTTTAAGATTTTTTTAATTGTACATTTTTATGATTTAATTATTAGCTTTTTATCAGTTTGAGAAACGCTGGTATAAATGATCATAAAGACACATACTGCACATATTTACATCTACGCATTTTGCAGATGCTTTTATCCAAAGTGACTTACAAAAGAGGAACAAAAACAATTCATCACAGAGACAACAATATTGATGTTTATTAGAAATCTAGATGAGGGGAATCTGTGAATCGGCACTGGTGAGTATAAAGTGAAAGTGACAGCGGAGTGTGCGTTCAGAGACAAACTCAGTCAACATCAAACTGCAGCATGTGAGCGATGAGACCTGAGCGCTAGTAATGCTGGGATACAACAGAATCACACAGGATGAGCGGGAGTTTGTGAAAGGCTTCAACGGGCCTGTAAACACACACATGCACACAGGCACACACACACTCACACACACACACACTCTCAAACACACACACACACACACACTCACACACACACACACACACACACACACACACACACACAC